TTGGGCAGTAGTTTACTGCTTCCCACATTAGTTACTACGTGTCTAAGTAAGTTTATGGTAGATATTAGGACACAATCACCGTCAATAAATGAAAGAACATTTTCTCATCCATTCTTGTCAGCGTTCCGTTTCTGCCGGTCCACCGCGTGAGCGATGGAATCCTGCACAGAACGTACCACTGCTTCTCTGGCTAGCAAACGTCCTTCTGCGGAATCGGCCTTGATGTGTTCAATTCGCCTTGTGCGAACTGCAGAAAGAGTCCTTTCCTCTTTTTGTTCATCAGCGAGGGTGTCATCAACGTCGCTGGAATAGTCGTTGGCGATGCTGAAGGTACCAGCATCGTTCTCATTATCTGAATCAACAATAGCGTCATCGCTATAGTTGAGATGGTCTTCTTCATCGATGTCGACATGATCGACATCGGCATCATACGTGATGACCTTTGCGTCGACACGCTACGGTCAAGAGCCAGAACGGTTTGTGCCCGAGCGAGTTCCTCCCCCTTCACCAAGAGTCACACTCAAATAGGGAGAACAGACGTGGATGGAGTAAGCCATTCATGATGAACGGTGTATGCTGTGTAGAGGCATGCACCGAATGATTGATGGCGAATTCCACCAGAGGTAGGAATTCGCTCCAGCTCGAGAACAAGTGGGCGTATCCTCGAAGGATCTCTTCGAGGACACGGTTCGTAAGTTCTGTCTGACCACCTGTTTTGGGATGGTCAGATGCTGACATTTTCAACCGCGTTCGAGCGATCGGACCACGGGTTGGCACAACTCCGCCGTGAATCGAAGGTCGCGGTCGGACACGAGTTGACGGGGTAACCCGTGAAGTCTAAATATCGTGTCGATGAAGACACGAGAATAGCCTAGTGCCTTGATCGACTCTGGAACTGCAGCAAGATGAACCATATTGCTGAAACGGTCAACAAACACAAGGATACCATTGTTCTTGTGAGCGTCTTCGGGAAACCCGAAGAAGAAGTCCATTGAAACGGAATGCCAGCACTCCTTCGGGACAGGAATAGTCTATAATGGTGCACGGGACTATTTACAAGTTCACTCGTTGGCAAACCTCTCAAGCACGAATGTACTTGCGCACAAACGGATACTGGCGGGGCCAGCAAAATTCACGACTTACCGTAAGGAAGTCTTTACCCTTCCACAATGCCCGCCTGTTGGGGCATCAAGACACTCATACACGATGCGAAAGCGCAGGTGGTTATGAGTGGGAAGGCCGACACGAGTTGTGTCGCCGGCAACGGCTGTATAGTACAGCACCCGCTGCGAGTTGTGTACCGATATGAAGAGGATCGGTACAAAGCCGGTAAATCTTTCAATTATTTACAAGCTGGATTCACCAGATGATCGATTAAGCGCAGAATATCCTTATCTGCCGCGTAGAACTTTCTTCCGTGTCGTCAAGTAGCATTGAAGACGAGACACTGGATGCAAGTGTCGCTACAATTGGCGTGTCCCCACTGTTGGATTGCGCGCCCATCTCGAAATCAGGGCCGCGCAAAAGCGCATCAGCGACGACTATAAGTCGTCCTGGCTTGTATTTGACGGATAATTGTACCCCGCGAAGAAAGACAGCCACCTCACCATTCTTTTCGAGAGGTGTGGGCTATTTACGGCCGTGCGTAGTGACGCATGGTCGGTATACACGATGAAGGTCTATCTCCCAATCGATAGACGCGAGGCTTAGCCAGTGCATATTTCATGGCAAGGAGTTTCTTACCATGCACTGGGTAATTGCGTTCAGCTGGTTGCAGCTGACGCGATGGATAGCAGATGACACGCTCCGCGCCGTCTGTGTCGTATTGCATCAATGCACAGCCGATCGCAAAATCGCTGGCGTCACAGACCACATGGAATGGTCTGTCCTGATCTGCAATCGCCAGTATGGGCGATTGCATCAAGCTTTGCTTGATACCTTCGAAGGAGCGCTGACACTCAGTGTTCCATGTCCACTTGACAATTTTCTTGAGCAAGCAAGAAAGATGAACAGTCATCTCGGCGTAGTTGCGCGAGTACTTGTGCAAGTACGCCGCTAAACCAAGGAACTTCCGAAGTCCTTTGACATCGACTGGCACAGGCCATTCGGTGATCGCCTTGATCTTCTCGGGGTCGGAGCGTACGCCGTGTTTATCCACGATGCACCCAAGAAGTGGTATTTCGCTAGCCGCAAAAATACACTTCTTGAGGTTTGCGTACAACTTGTGCTTGCGCATAAGTTGAAGAGCCTTACGGACGTGAGTTCTATGAACTTCAACGTCCGTCTTTTCGTACATAGCCCGAATATGGACGAACACATCGATAAAATACCTCGGTGCGAAATCACGCACCGGTCTCATCAGATTTGTAACACATCTGTTGAACGTTGCAGGGTCATTTCTCAGCCCATGTGGCATCACTAGCCACTCCCACATCATACCGCTGGAAGTGCTCACTGCCGTGTACGGGATGTCCCGTTCACGCAGTAGGATCGGATAGAAGCCATCCATCAGATCCATGGACGAAAAGATGGTACTCATTGACACACCATCGATGATCACGTCCTTTCTCGGTATCGGTGTCTGAGGCAGGACAGTTGCAGCAATCAACTTGTTGAATGCGTGCACTATCCGTCATCCTCCTGTGGCTTTTCGCACACAGAAGATCGGAGGGCTGCGAGAGGATGTTGATTCCCACATATGACTTGCCGCTAAGCGATCAGTAAAGAACTTGTCGATCGCTAGTACTTGTCCACGTGACAGTGGCCACTGCTTCATGACACAGTACTTCGAGCCCGATTGGAGCTCGAGCTCGTGTCGAGGGTCTTTATCCTATGTCAACTCGTAAGATATGGATTCAGGGAACACATCCTAGAATTCGATCAAATCCGTGTACAAAGGGTTTGCCTGAAGCGCCTCCCAGGATTGGGATGCATATCTCTTAATTCGAGTCTCCTCATCGATGACGCTTTCGTCCATCGATGAGCTGCTGAGAACTCTTTCGGTCACAGTAAAACAACATTGTCGATCGAATATCTGTGACATACTCGTCCTTTGCGACGAGTACAAAGATCTGCTTGACCTTTCCACTACGCAGATTACGTAAGAACCTCTTTTGTTCTAGCGTTGGCAATTGGCTTATCTTCGAAGTAACTTCGCAGGCTCAATCGGATCAAGCGTATAAGCGCGTACGCTTGATCCGTTGGTGACCAAGACATTCAATGTCTCGATTACTTCCTGGAAAGTCACATCCACAGGATCCATGAGAGCTTTCTCCACAATGTAGTAATTATCTACATTGTGTTCTTGTACTGTCGTGCTAACCACCGTACCGCAAGTAAGGCCGTCGAACTCACTCGCAGTACACCCACACGCTAGTGGTCGGTCCAAGACGCTCTTTAGATGATCATATGATGTAAAAGTGACATGTATCGATACTGATCGATGTTGCCAGCTCGCCCTTGGCTCGTATCTCCTGAGCCAAGGAAGTCCTAGGATGACATCGAACTTGTCATCCGGATCCAGTACGAGGAAATCGTCATCGTACTGTTCATGTTTACGTGTAGTGGATTCCGACTACACGTTTCTCAACGGTAATCGATGCTCCTGTTGCAAGGCGCACCGTCATTCTCGTGAGGGGAATGTCGCGCTCAACGAACTTGATCCTACGACCCTCTAGTGACTGGCGACGAACAAAGTTGTTCGACGACCCACAGTCAACTAGAGCGCGAAGTGAAAATCTTCTGTCACTTGCAACTTCAAGTTGATGAGTGATATATCATCACCAGGTGCAGAGACACACAATGATTGTGTATCTGGAGCAACTTTCGTCAAGAGATTTGCAAATTCTCTTGCGGTTGCTGGATCAGTAGGGCGCTCCGCCCCTACTGACCCCGACCATATTTTGATGGTCCGCTTCGCTGTATGAAGGTCTCGACTCGTGCATTGAGCACATCGGGACCTTGTGCAGCTAGAAAATCCACATACTCTGGGCCTACGGCCGCGGTCGGCTTATCAAGCGCGACATTTTGGGCATCAGAGAGGGGTGTGGATTGCTCCATCCTCACAGACGATCAGTCGTTACCGACTCAGGTGTAGATTGACTACAAGTGCTACCAAGTGTAGCGGAGCTACACAGCTCTTAAAGTCAGAGAAAGAATGAACTTCCAATGAGCAACTTTGGTTCTACGAACCCGACTCAAAGAGTTAACAAGCTCAGAGAGCTTACGGTCCCTGTTCTAGGAGGACCAAACGATTCAAAGAACTAAACGCACTGAGTGCACAATGAGTAGCTGCCTTAACAAGGCGTTGCTACCTCCTTACGATCGCAAGACGCCTCAGAGAGGCACGTGTCTTTTGTTGATTAAGATGGGAACTGAATTTTATTTCTTCTTTCAACCTAAAAGAACACTGTAAAACAAAGTAAATAACCTACTCACTTATGTCCTGAATAAACCTATTAAAAGATCTCGTAATCAATTGTTGACAGACATCAGTCTTCAACAATTGATACTTGTGTTATAATATTACTTCAAAGGGGATCCCATCCCTTGTGTGTACCACACCTATTGTCGATTACTACTCGACGTGTAACCCCGTTACAGAAGTGGGGGTTGAAATAGGTGTTCAGATCGGCGAGATTGATCACTCATTCACGGTTTTTTCATGTACGATTTACAAAAATCAACAAGTTAATACCTCTGCTAAGTTTATGTGATTGTCGTTTACCGTGCCCAAAACTTATCGGAGGGAAGACTCTATATCTGCTGATCACTGGATCTGTCCAGACGTTAATAAGTATTCAGAATAATACGATATTTGTCAACCTCTATTGCCGAACAATGGGTTGAAAGTTATTGAATATACAATTTTCCGAACAATGGGCTAAAAACATTTTAATTACTACAAGGGATTATCAGCTAAAAAGGGCCTAACGAAGTGGGTTTCCACTGTTCTTTGGCTCGTGCTTCTCATCGTCCGCCTCCTCCGATCCACACCACTCATGTCGGCCGATTTCGAAGCGCCGTGGGTCGAAAAGTACCGTCCGCGCGTCTTGGCCGACGTCGTGGGCAACCGCGACACGATCGCGAGTCTCCAAGCGATGGCGCGTGCTGGCAACATGACCAACCTGATCCTTGCGGGCCCTCCCGGAACGGGCAAAACCACGAGCATCATGTGCCTCGCACACGAACTCTTAGGTCCGGCGGCTGTCAAACAGGCAGTGCTCGAGCTCAATGCGTCGGACGACCGCGGGATCGACACGGTCCGCACAAAGATCAAGATGTTTGCGCAGCAGAAAGTGACGCTGCCGCCTGGACGCCACAAGCTCGTGATTCTGGACGAGGCCGACGCCATGACGGCTGCAGCTCAGCAGGCACTTCGACGGACGATGGAGCTCTTTTCAGCGACCACGCGCTTCGCTCTTGCATGCAACAACTCGACGAAAGTCATTGAGCCCATCCAGAGTCGTTGTGCCATGCTGCGCTTCACGCGGCTCTCGGACGAGATGCTCTTGCGTCGCTTACTCACGGTCTGTGAGCAGGAGAACGTTGGGTACAAGGACGAGGGCCTCGCGGCGCTCATCTTTACAGCTGAAGGCGATATGCGTAATGCACTGAACAACCTGCAAGCTACTGCTAGTGGGTTCCACTTTATCAGTGACGAGAACGTGTTTCACGTGTGCGATCAACCGCATCCAGCGGTGGTGAAAGATTTGTTGACCCACTGTGAGCAAGCACGGCTTGATCGAGCTACGGAACTTGCGCTTGGGTTGGTGAAGAGTGGCTACTCGTCGCTAGATATCATTGGCACGATCTTTCGAGTGTGCAAAGCACTATCGATGCCAGACGAAAAGCTCAAGCTCGAGCTCATTAAATTCATTGGGGCAACGCACATGTGCATTGCAGATGGCGTCTCAACGCAGTTGCAGATCCATGGTCTTGTCGCGCGACTCTGTGCTGCAGCAGCGGCCAAAAACACAACTAGCTAAGAAGAGAGTAAGAAAAATTTGAAACGGCTTTGACGTGCAGAGCGAACTGGAGTCTTGAAAGGTAGGTTTGAAGTGTTTAGCAGACAGGTGCTACATGTAAAGCTGAGTCTGAGACTACCATTCAGTTCAAAGCCCGAATGTTTCCTGTAGTGGTCGGCGCCTGTAGGTATCGCTTCTCTACGTGGGTGCATCAAGTAGGAATCATGACGGCGTCGATGGGCTGTTTGGGTGTAAGTGGCTCGACAAGTATACAAACATGCGTAACGGCGTGCCGTGCTTGAGTTCAATATCAAGCCATTTGGCAGTTGGTTCGTCCAAGCTGGCAACGACTTTCTGTGTCCAGGTGCGCAAACGATACTCCTTGCATCGCGTGATTTAAATTTCGCGATGCAAGGAGTAACGTGTCTTTGATGTGTCGGACGTTTGATCTGGATGTCAAGATGGTTTGTTTACCTTACCGAATGCTCCGCAGTCGTCAAACGAGTCCGTGTGATGTCGGACGGGCTTTGAGACAAAGAAAGACACGTGTGTTGGCGACCCCGTTTTTGCTTTCCATTCGACGGCAAGTTAGGTTTGTACCATTTCGCGTACTCACTGCCGAGCCTGTCACCGCCGTCGAGCAGAGGACTTTTTTGGCTGACACGTGTCAGAGCGGCTTGAAGTCCTCGTCTTTTTCGTGGGCGGTGTGTCGTGTTTTCCGTCACATCGGATTGCTGAATGATCAATATGGACAGTGTCACGTTCGGTACGCTTGTCGCGCAGCACAGTTGCCATGTTCGCAATGACATGACTTGCGAATGGGAGACACTAGCGCGTCGCTGGTCTGGCAGAGCAGTGACGCGAATTTGTACAGCAGCCTCTACGTGAGTATGTAAGAGCTAGAAGAATCAAGCAAGTGAACGCTACGTCATTGTCGCTGAGGAGGAGGAGGAGAAGAAGAAGGAGGAGCATTTTTTGCTGAGCTTGTGTAAGTCTGATGGTCAGGCAAGAGTGGGCGTGTGGGGTGTAAAGTCCCATCCCAGTTCCAAAAGACGGCTGACAACTTCATGCGGAGCCGATCGCGCTCGTCTGTGAGCAAGGAAGAAGGCAAGTTGAAGTGACGCAGCGCCTCCGAAATGGGACAGTCTCACACACAATGGGTCAAAGAATGCGTAGGCCTCGGCACAGCTGCGCTTCACTCAATTGTTGCATCACGATCTCGGGAACGGGTGTCGACTTTGTGAGGCCCTTCAGGCGAGAAAGGGTCGCATCGTGTTGCGACGACATGGTTTGTGCTCGCCCGTCTTGTGTTGGAGAAGGACGTTGTGGACTTGTTGCCATTGACGTTGTTGCTTGTTTTAGTGCATTGACACTTGAGTTTGTTGGCGCGAGTGTGTGGAATGGAACGCATCGATGAAGTGGTCGCACAGCCTCATCACTCGAAGACCACATGCAGAAGCGAAGAGTTGACTTTGACGCGATCCGCGCAACGAATGGCGGCACGAGCTATGATATACATTACGGAACGACCGATGCTGGTAGTGCACGAGTCCTTCGTGCTCAGAAACAGTAGTCTTTGGCGCTTCAGTTGTTGCAGTCGTGTGAAGGTCACACAGCTGCGGCTTTTACATTGTGTGTGTGTCACAGTCCTGCGAGTGTCATCACCGGATGGATACCTGTGTACATTCCGTGAGCGGCAGAGCATATCAGCAGGACACGTCAGCCAGCACTTCTCGACGAAACGACGCCAGAGGCGCATCAGCCGTTTATGTTATGTTTACTTTTACCAAACAAGACCCTCACCTTCGTCCTTATTCGTACGATGCCTGCACCTACATCATACGTACTGCTTGTAGGCACTACCGAAGCGTATAACTCATTTGCCCCAGTCCACCCGATCTGGTTACCTTTCTTGCACCACTGATCACAATGCGATCAACAGTCACCACTGTGTTCGAAGACGACGGGATCCGCACGTCTGGCTTGATGCATGTAAGTCGAACGCTGGACAAGTTTGGCTCTCAGTAACTAGAACACGTACCTTTACCTCCTACAGGGTTGACGACTGCTGGTATAGCCCCGGCAGACTGTGTTCGCTGCACACGTCCAGTGAGACCAGTGTGACTACACACATGGTGCTGCCCTTGCTGACAAACGAGTTTGACCCAAAGGATTGCGGGCACTCGTTGTGCTGAACATGCAACGAATGCACACAAAGCATTGCAAGCACAATTCGACTCGAATGTTAACCTCCATCGAAGTTTGCTTCGGCTTGACGGTGGCCGCCGAGCCACATTGTGTTGCACCACACATATGTCTTTGGCGACTAAAGATTCTAGCTAGAGCAAGCCGTTACTAATGAGAGATCCTCCATTGAATGCGACACCTTTTGAAGTGCTTGTATAGCCTAAAAACTGCTGCATGCCTGCTAGGTTTTAGCCGTAGTGTAACGGGCACACCCTTGCGTGATCTTAACGCAAGGGTATCGGTGCCCCGACAGACATACACAAGGAAAGCGAGGAAGCGTAGATAAGGGAAAAAGTAAAACTGTTGTATTAATATAATTAAGTCTTTTTGTTACTGTCTCTCAGTTTAAATTGACTTAATTATACTAATACAACTGAGTGTATGGTGACGTCTCGTCACCACTCATTGCGCGCGTCCTGCGGCGATTGGTGGGTTGATATCGTCAAGATATCAACCAATGAGCAGACCCTTTGGTCGCCTCACCAATATCACCACTATCGGTGATATTGTTAAAAGAATATTCAACTTAATATTCTTTATTGTCATTTTTTCTTTAATGACAATTTCCATGTAACGGGCTGCCCCGTTACATCACCCCCCTTAACTGATAGTCACCGTGTGACTATCGAAAAATATGGCGGCCACCCGTTGGCCACCATTGGGACAGGGAGCACTTGTTGGGTCCGTTCCATTCACTTTCTGCTTGACCTCGCATAGTTAACATGTCTATGCGGAATAACTCAAGGCACACAGAGTCTGTGCCTGTGCCAGCTTCTGGGGCAGACGATTCGTCGTCTGCTGACCGTTCTTTGCCTGCAGCAAGAGGTGCTGCAGGTGCACGCGGCACCTCACCGCGTGCGCATGATGACCCCGACATTGAGGTCATCTACTCTGGCGAGTCAGACGTGTCTGAATCGGGCAATGTTGCAGAGGCGTCTCGATCACCGGCGACGCCTCAGTATTCGCCAAGGCCACTGCCAAACGAACGGACTCGTGAGTTGCAACACAGTCTGTTCGGCAGTGATGATGAAGGTGATCAGAGTGGTGAGGGGTATTACTCTTTACCACCGCCGACTCGTGCTTCTTCGCGCGAGCGTGATGACATAGCGCGAGCCGTCGTCATTCTGGGAGCCTTGGTACAGACAGAGGTACCACTTCGAAGCGTGATGAGCTGAAGCCGTGGCGTCTGCCCGAACGGCTCATCAATAGCTTGTATCACGAGACAAACCAACACCATCGAATACCTTAATTCGAGGCGACCGAGCTTCATGGCTTGAGTCCCAGCGCGAGCAACTTTCGCGCTGAAGAGTATTTTTATCTCGATATCTTTCTTAGACATCGATGGTACAACGGCAACCAAAAGCGTGACAAAAACTCGCTTTTGGCAGCGTGGAACGCGTTCGTCCAAAACGTAAAGAATTTTGGACGAGAAGGGTGGCTCAAGAAAGTTGAGGCGACACGCCTCAGGTTCGAAAAGCGAACGCCAACCGGTGCCAGGTACCGATTGCACTGTTTGTCGAGTGAGGCAGACATTCCATGCCTCACGTGGGGAAACCCTTGTGCGAGTTGTGCTGACAACTCGCAGCGTGCACATAGGGACGTGTATTCCCTAAGTTCGCCCTGGGGAAGGGCATACATCTCGGAGGAGATGCGTGACGCGATTGCAAACTTGCAATCTGTCTACAAGCTCCTAGGGCGCGTGTTTACCGATTAGCCCTCGGACCAATCGGATAAGTCTCGTCATACTGGCGGACGAGACCTTCAACGTCCATCAACAGATGAGAGTGGGGCTCCCAGCTGTCCCAAGAGGGCGGATACCCCCGCCAGTGGACGAGGTAGCTTGTCCTTGATCCCAAATCGTCATGGTGGTTCAAGATACGCTCCACTAGAAAGCGTTGACCACCGTGCGAATCCACCAAAGGATGTGGTGGAGGAGGAAAGACCTCCTTCAGATGATTTTGCTCACCATCTCGACTCTTACGAGATGGATCGCGCAATCGATGAATTGCGCGATAAATTGAAGCACGAGCGCGACCGGCGCTACGCTTTGACTGATACCGTGCGGAAGAACCGCATGGATCGCGAGGCTGATCGGGCGAGAGACCGCGCCGATTACGCCACAGCGCATCTTCAGGTCGAGCAGGATGTCCTCTCCCTTTTTGGCGAGCTGGCGACAGCTAGCGGGGAGATATCTCGGTTGAGTTCCGAGGTATCATATCTGTGCGACCAGACGGATCGACTGGAGCGCGAGCGCAAGAACTTGATGGATGTTATTGAACGTGGGGGCTATCTTCATCGGAAGAAGAAGGCTCGTACTGACAGTACGGCCTGAGCCTCCCCACGTAAAACGTAGGATGCGTGCGCATCTTACGTGGCAATTCGAGTGTGTATGCATTGCCCTTGCGATGCAACACTCGAAATGGCCCAATGTACTTCGGCAGCAGTTTACTACTGCCGACACTAGTGACTGCATGTCCAGGTAAGTTTACCGTAGACAGTAGTACTAGGTCATTATCTTTAAGTGAAAGAACATTTGCTCGTCCATTCTTGTCTGCGTTCCGTATCTGGCGGTCCACAGCATTCGCGATGGAGTCCTGAACGAAACGGACAACCGCCTCTCGAGTCAGCAGGAAGTTCTCTGCTGACTCTTTGTTTTGTCTTTCAGTGCTCTTCGTGCGCACTGCTAATAGATTGTTCTCTTCTTCAGCGAGGTTGTCGTTTTCCTCGCTGGCATAATCGTTGACGATGCTGAATATACCAGCATCGTCATCATC